TCCTAACTCCCTAAATTGATAGAAAATTAGCACAGTCATAAAAGGCATATGTGGCTTTAGCAATGCAGCTGAAAAGGGAAAATGAATAAACCTGCCACTCAGAAAGTAAAAGACAGAGCTGAAGAATGACTGCTGCCATTTCAGCTTCCCGGCCCTTCTCCCTGCCATCCAAGTGCAAAAAATAGCCTCATCCCCCTGTGCAGGCCGAAAGGAAGCACTCTTCTGGGGCTCTGTTCCTGCAGACACTGCACTCGGCAACGTACTGCTATAAAGTGCCTGACTAGAGGATATCCTAAATTAATTTACATAGATTATATAAATATATGCATGTGTGTGTATTTTGTATGAAATGTGAAACCAGTGATTTCTTAGCCAACCCCTTAATTTGTCTGAAACAGTGCAGGCATAATGGAAACTGCCCACACATTTTTCCATTAAAAGTTACAAAGGGAAGGGAGGGGGGAACTGGTGATAGAAAAACACATGCTCTCTCAGCTCTCACATACATGCTGTGCAGCCAGGCAGCAACATACACTCACACCAGTTTGCTGGAAAAAGTGTCATCTTTATTCTGGTGCTTACGGCTGGTCGTCTTCCCGCTCGTGCCCTCCCTCCTAAGCGCTCTGGGCTCCTTGTGTGTGTGTGGAGGGGAGGGACATGGCTGTGCCTCTGCAGGTGCAGGCAGCGAGCTTAAAGAGACCCAAGCTTGTCCATATCTGTTTTGCAGGCTTCCTTGTCTGGATTAAAGAGAGATTGCCATTGCCCCTCGCGTGGTGGCCGATGATGGTGCGAGTGACTCTATGCAGCCTGCAGAGTAACTTTGTCTGGACGGGTTATGAACAGGCTCTCTGCCCTGCCAGCGTCTTGACCCTGCTAGCAATGGCACTCGCCAGGTTTCTGTGTAGTCTGTCCAGCATGAACGCGAGTAATTTTCTCCAAGGAATTGGATGAACGCGTGACTCTGTGCTGCTGAGCGTAAGCCAAGGCAGTGCCGCCCAGCAGGCACCCACTGCAGCGAGCCACACTGGCTGCCGGGCGGCTCCGGGGGCACCCTGATGGAGAAAGCAGGAAGGGGAGCAAGGGGAGGCCTGGGGGGGCACCGGCCGTTTCTCAGCCTCAGGCAGCTCCCTGGGCCATCACCACGAGGTGCAGGTGCTCCCTCGCTGCCTTCCTGCTGCCAACCAGGGAGACCACCACAGGTAAGAGACTGTGGCGTTAGGGCTCTTTGTGGCCTGGCAGGGGCATCCCCTTGCCAAAGGCTCACATGTGTACTGCACTCCTCTGCCACGAAGGTGCAGATTCTTCAACTGGGAAAGGTTACTTGTCCCCCTCTCCCGCCTTCGACTCGCCTGACCCCACTCAACTGGAAGTGTCAGGTGCATCAGTTACTCATTGCAACCAACCCGATCTCAATGAAAATGCTATATATGGAAAAGGCAGTCCTATGAACTCACTAGCATTTTTTGAAAGAATGCGTTGTGTTGACAGCGCTAACCATTTTGCACAGCGGGGGGAAACATGCAGCTGGTAACTAGTGCAGGACTGTGGGGATTCATGAATGTGTGTATGTTTTTGTTTTTTGCTATATTGTCCTATAACCCATATGCATCACTGCGGGTTACGTTAGTGGAATTTTGCTGCTCAGCAGCTGTCCGGGCAATGTGAAGCCAGGCCCACTCATCCTCTTAACCATCAAAGGTACGCATTCAATCCATTTATGGCTGCCTCGGGGCACTGCTCCACACATCTTTCTCAGCAGCAGTGCCAGCTTAAGGCGTTCCCGCCAACTCGACTCTAAAGCCATGCGGTAATCTGTATCTGTTGATGGATCGGGGTTAAAAATAACTTGGATGGCTTGACTGGTTCCTTTTGCTGCACAAATGGCTGTGCTTGCCCAAGAGAAAGGTAGTGCAGAGGAACGAGAGGCCAAGAGGTGAAAACACCCTACTCTGGCTTTGCTGATGAGAAATAGGTAAACGGAACTGCTCGGATACGGAGAGGGTGCTGCAAAGTCTGTATTTTAAGTTTCCTTTTGGGAAGCAGGATGGCTGCCGGTGGGGGACTCTCTGAGGATTTCTCAGCATTGAAACCACGAGCCCTGTTTAGTTCTGCTTGTTTCAATCCCCCTCATATCTTTGGTTGGGTCTTCCACTATGCCCGTTCTGTGGTAACTTAGAAACATAACAACAGCTTCTTCTAACTACTGGCCTGTGCCTAGGAATGTAAGACCACAAACCCTTCCTCAGGTCTCACGCTAATATGAAGAGCTCTGTATTTAAGAGACTGAGCCAGATTTGGCCATGGTAAGCTCCAGCACCTTGCTAAGAACTACTACACAACGTCATTCCAGGCACAATTTTAGTCATTGGAAAGGAGATAAAGAAAATAGAAAAGAAAAAAAGCAGCCCACCCCTAAACGGATCATAATTTATTATAAAATAGGACTGACTTTGTTTTTAATAAAGACCGTCGCTTAAGGCTGCAGAAGTGTGAATACTCTCTTGATCTGTGCTCCAGGACTCATCCTATGAAAGAGTGGTAGGTCCTTATCAGCGGTTATTAGGCTCCCTCAGGGTTTCCAGCCTTGGCAAATGATGAGTGGCAACACTCAAAACTTTGTGCGTCCTTCCATCTATTAGAATAATTTTTCCTCTTCCCTGATGCTTTATTTGTTATGTTCAGTATTAAAGGTGTAGTAGCATTTCTCAATAGCACCTTAATTTACTAATCCATAAACTGCAGGGATGTGTTTTATATTTGAAGAATTGTGACCGCCCTCTCATCGCCCTCCCAGAGAAACCCGAGACTGTTCCCCCCACGCTGCTAAGTGAAGTAAAAGGCAGAGCTTTCTCCCCCGTGTTGCAGAAAATACCTGTCTTCCCTATTAAGTGACTGAGCCTGGAGTTGCTTATGCCTTTCATCCATCTGCTGTCAATTTAACTGGCTCCACTAGCTAGTGGCTCCTTCTTATGACCTTGCAAGAATTTACAAAACCTGGTTTCTATAAAAATTAAGGGGCGATCCCCGTGTTTACCCTCTTGCTCAACTAACCATGTTTTGTTACTACCAGCTAGTGCTAGAATATATCCACATCTCCCCCACCTCCGACTCAAGCCTGCATCTGAGAAGACCCGATGACTTGGCCAAGATTTCCAGCTGCTGAAGTTACCTCAGTGGATCCATTGCTGTGGCGTATCTGCAGTAGCTTTGCCTGGACCGCTGCGTTTCTGGAAGCCTGGAGCATAAGTACAGTGCTGAGGCTCTGCGGCCTGTCAGACTAGGTCTGGCAGATCCGGGGAGAGCCTTCGCAGCATACGCACCACACGTTTGGTCAGAGTGGGTGTCCAGGGCCCAGGCTGCTTTTTAAGCCCCTGATTTGCACCACCTGGGCAGACTGACACAAGCCTGACGCTTCCCTGACTCAGTGGACTTATTATGCATATGTTAATCTGGGGGGACTGTGCACACGTCTGTCTGGGAAGTTGCAATCAACCAGCACCTGAAAGGCCGACAGCTAGAGAAGAGATTGATAGTATTTATGTGTGTATGTATATAGCAGAAGGAATTGTTTTTTGTGGCTGTGTTGAATCTTTCAGCTAAGACTGACTGCAATGCAGGATTGGCTGGCTTTACTGCTGTGTGAGGTTCCACATACAGTGCGCATATGTGTATCAGACCACATAACTGAAAATAGGGTTTTCTCTAGTAACATTTAGCCTTAGTTTTCCAAATGAAGACATTGACTTGCAGCAAGACAGCCTTTTACAGGATGGAACTGTAAGTATTTATTTACCCAGGGTGTAATTTTTTATCTTTCATAAGAATGCAGGTATCAGCTGCTTAATTACAGGATTATGTATGTAAACTTGCACTTTATAAAAATTTGGAAGTAAAACCTTTGCCTAACAGCAGCCTTATTCTTGGCAATGAAGTTCCATCTACAGAAGCCTTTCATGTGAGAGACATGTCCCACATGTGAGTTAATTGTTACAATTCAATAAATACTTTACAAAAATAATGCTAGCTTTTAAAAAAAATTAAGACATTTTAACTCACCAATAGTTCCTCCCAGACAGCTTCCTTAAAGAATAGCTTCTTCTGTAGGACACTGTGCATGATAAATGGGGGAAAAGGGCTGGTTGCATGCCTTATCTCAGGGAACTTAGAAACATGTATTCCACTTTTTGTGTTCTTTAAAAAAATAAATTACTTTCTTAAAAGAAAGAAACAAGCAGACCTAAACACTCTTCACATTAAAAACTGGGAAGCAACTGTGATTTTTTTTTCTTTCCTTTGACATGGTTTCCTTCTCTGGCCTCGCTCCTCTAATGACTTACAGCATGCTTAGTTTACAGGTAGCTGCCCTGAAGATCTGCTCCCCGGCCCAAGACGAAAGCCCTGACAGCTGTAGCTCCGGATCTGAGATGTCTCCAGGAGTGGGCTGTTTGTAACTCTTGCAGAACCACTGCATTGGGACTTCTTCTGCTCCGTAGGAAAACCACGGCTATGTCTCCCTGCAAGCCTACCCCAGATGGACTGCGAGACCTGAGCTAGAAGGTAAGAGGAAGAATTCCAAGAAAAAATTGCTAGTAACTGTCTATATTCACTTTTGAGTATTACCCTTCCAAAAAAAATTTCTTCCTTTCTTAGATATGACTAATCATGAAATCAATTATAGAGAAAACTGATGCTGTAGGTGCATTAATCTTGTAAACCATTCCCATATGGAAGAGTACACTCCTCAATCCTATTGTTTATAACAACTTTTAAATATGTGCCCTCCTCAGCTGGGGCCTTGGGGACTGATGGTGATGGCAGCTGCCCCCCGTCCCGTCCCCCCCCCCCCATGTTACAGTTGGGGAATAAAATGAAATGCACATTATTAAATGAACATTATTGCAGTATAAGATCCTACCAGGACAAGTTTTATGTATGTCTGTATGTAAAAATAGGTGTGTGTGAGACAGAGACATATGTGTTTATAAATTACACACACTATGAAAAATACTTATGTATTATATTACAACTATATACATTCATTAGAAAGAAACTGATCAACCCCTGTCAAGGAGACAATGCAGCAGCCGTTATCAGTTCTTTGGCATCCAGGAAGTGAATGCTATTTTGTGCCTGAAGAGGAGGAAAATCTTCTCAGTATTCCCTTGCTTCTTGAAATTGCTTGTAGTAGTCTTCGTCTGAAGGGTTTTCTGTACACTTCTGCCCATTGTTTGGAGGCCGAGCTTCATTGTATCGGCTCCAGTCACCTTTGCATATAATCCAAGGCAGAATGTCCACTTTGTAATGGAGTTCTGCTGAGAATTCGATGCTGATCAGGTTTGGTGTACCTGCCCCTTTCCCTCTGGTAATCAGCTGCATATTATCATCATAGCAGCAGTGCTGTGCCGCAAGCGTTGTGCTTTCCAAAGACAGCATGGAGCGGATGCAGTATCGTGCAGTGGGCTTGTAGATCTCCAGTTTTTCCTTTGGACCACTTGCATCCTTCCAGCGAAAGTTTTTCCTCTTAATTCGATCATAGATTTCAGCAGTGCTGTATGCAACTTCTCTGGGGTAGGAGCATGGGCAGCTGGGAAGATCGTTGACCACTTTGTGCATATATTTCTTCAAGAACTCGCTTTTGCAGCTCATCCATCTTTCACAGCTATCAGTATCTGTTTAAGGGCAGGAAATGGAAACTTAAGATAAACTACTGCAGCATCCCAGTTCGTATGATCAGTGATAACAAATGAGTAAAGCGTAACTGTTCAGCACCAGTGCTTTGCTTAAGAAAGGAAGGGCAGTCAGAGCTTGCCTCCCTGCCTGCAATGTGTTAATGTGCTGTCTTGTCAGATAAAGAAATCACACGTGTGACTGGCTTTAGGGCCTCAGGCAGTGCTAGTCTGAATTACTGTGCAGCACCACGCCAGTAAGAATCTCTGACATTTCTTCTACCTGGCAAATTCTAATTAAGCTGCTGATATCCCTATGCAGCACAAGAGACACTATCACGGGTTTACAAGCGACAGAACTGAAATAGGGAAATCACAGTGATTTGATGCCAGTCTCCAGTTCAAAACCCTAGTCCACACGCTCAGCAGATTCAGATGTTGAAGGATGAAGTTTCTCATGACGCTAGAAATACCGAAATGGCAAGCAAGGCCTGGATTACTTTTTCTGAAGTTTGTTACTAAGCCCTAATTCAGCAGTCTTTCTTTTAACTAACAAATACTTTTTTTCTATTTGGTCTCCATCTTCCCAAAGGGGTATTTCAAGCAGCTGTAGTTCAAACGTGGAGACTGACAGCTGGCAAATGCAGCCAAAAGTGATTCAGATGCTAAAAGGGCATAATGTGACATAATATCAGAGTGTCTGTACATTAGGAGGATTTAATGGCACCAGAGCCATGACTTATAGCTGGGATTAAAGAGATTTATAGACTAGTAGCATATTTAACACTGGCACTTTGTTATTTTGCAAGAGACTTGGGAGAACCCAGTTAAACGTCTCCTACCTAAAACATTATTTAAGGTGTCTGTATCATGCTACGGGCTTTCAAAAAAACGTGCACATCTTGCTCCACACTTACTTAACAGGACTCTGGAGTAAGGCAAGGACTGGGACCTAAAACTCTTACAGCAAACATTCTTGCAAAATATTTACTTAGTGATCTGTGTCCTGTTTGTCTATCTCCTTAAAGAGTCCTATCCCGGCTGTCATTTACTATTGTGCTCTACCACCATAGGAGGGAGGTGCTGGATTACATTATTTATCCAATTAGTCCAGCATCCAGTGTCTAAGCGTGGCCACATTATGGTTTCATTGGAGGGATGAAATCAGAACATTATAGAGGTTGGGCTGAGGTTTAGATAGATCAGTATCAAGTCATGCCCTATAAAATTGCTTTGGCTAGCCCCACCGCAGCACACACAGTTATAAAAGCTATGCATGCTCATAAAAGTCATTGTCATTTTTTAAAATGTGACAGCTGTACCTAAAATACTTTTACAGTATCTTCCAGTCGAGGCTATTTCAGCAAAATGCTAAACAATGTTTGATTTTTTTCCCCCTCCATTAGTGTGGAGCCTTACAGCTCTTTTCTGAACGAGGACAGAGAGAATCACCATTTTATAATGAAAGAAGCACAGAAATTTGCTATGACTTAAGAGGAGAAAGATTCTATGCCAGAAGCAAGCTAAGGTTCAGATCGTAAACTTAAGCAAGATAATAAATGGCCATTATTACTGACATTTTTAATGATAAACTCAAAATCTTGGTCCCGCAGTGAGAGTCAAAACAGGATAACCTAAGGAAGTCCTTTATCTATTACTGAAAGATTAACTAGGCTGCTTACCAACTTCAAACAGTTTGGTAGCGTTGAAGTCTTCACTTCCTGCAAGTAAGCTCACTTCTGTGGCGGCTGTCCGGAAGGTATCTTCGATCCCTAAGACAAACACGTGTTAGTGGTGGTGGTGGTTTCCTATTAAAACACAATGCAACCAACTGCCTCCCTGCCATCCCCTCCTTCCCCAGTTCTGCAAGGTGCTTTTGTTTGGCAGGGCAGTAACCTGAAGTTCCTGCTGGAGGGAGTGTTCATGTGAAAGTGTAATGACCAAGGAATCTGTGGTGTTAGGAAGATAAAGCATTAGCTTAGCCCAAAGGTCCAAAGTTTTCAAGTTTTAGAGCTTAGGTTACATTTAAGCAACAAACTGGTCAGTTATGAGCCCAGTGCAGGGACAGCAGCGAGAGAACCAATTCTGTTCCTCCTCTTCCCAATGCAAGGCTTGCCAGCGTCTCCCAGTAATTCAGGTAGGAGCTTTGCACACTCTTCACCATCAGCCACCTGGTCAGCTTTATGTGACCAGTGTCTTTTCCAGAGCATGTATCACAAGTGACTGACAAGATAAAAACAAGCATCCTAATGGAAGCTCTAAAGCCCTGGGTAAAATGTGACGTCTAAAGGACACAGCCTTTGTGCCCCTTTCTCAAACACAGCGACATGCCTGAAGACGGGTGATTAAGTTTGTATCCGTATGCGGGCAACCATTTTTCAGGAAGTACGAGGAAGAATGCTGTTACAAGACGACTGGCGCTTGTTGGTCTCTCCCAGTGCTAGGCAGTTGAAAGTAGGCGAGAGATAAATAACCTCTCCAGTTGAGCCCATCCCTCACCACCTATAGCAATCAAATAAAATATCAGGATCTTAAAATATCAGGATCTTCCAACAACCTCCAGTTAAGTGTTTGCTATCAGTAGAGAGAAACACGGATTGCCAGAAAATGTATTAATTGATCTGGCCAAAGTAAACATCCTTTCATTGCTGCTTTAGTTTGGCCTACCTACCAGCCTAATGCTTCCCTAACGTTTCTGTGCCATCTAGCCTTAAAACAAATGTCTCTTCAAAGACGCATTTGAACAGGTTTCTTTTTTTTTTTTTTCCCTCTCCATTGAATTAAAGACCTCCAAAGAGAGCAGAAAGCTCTTTAATACGTGATAACTACATGGTTAATAATGAAGTCTGCTCACCATCCATCTTCTTGCCAATGAACTTTCTCCTGATCTCCTGAACTGGGGCATAATAGTGGCTTGCAAAGCTTCAAAACAGCCTCAGGCAGCTTTTCAATAAAATTATCATAGGGTTTTGCCTTAACTCCAGCAGTAGATGCAGAATAATAGATACCCAAGTACCCATTACAAGGCAGTAATTCACTGCTGGAATTATAAACAGCAGAAGCGGAGCTTTGCCCTTGTAATTTTAAAAATGTCAGCACAGCCTCAAACAGTGAATATATTTTGCTTGCTGATCGTTGGGGGTCTGTTATATGACATAATATATTCTTTCAAGTTTGCCACTGTTTGATGCTAGCTGGTAATAAATACTGGAGAATATAACTGGGGGCTACATGCTTTCTTCTGGAATTAACCCTTTATTACTGAGGTTTTAGGATGTATGAGAGCATCCAGAAACACTTTCCTGAACTGCCTAGCAGCCATTACCTTGCAATGGACACACGCATCTGTCTGCGAGTGAGAAACTTCTCTCCAACTCTTTCACTGAGGCTCCTAAGTCTTCTCTCCAGCACTGCTGACATTTCATTTCCCATCAAAAAAACCTGACCTCCAGTTTAAGAATTTCTGCCTTTCTGTGTCATTAAGTAAACTCGGTGAAATGCATACCACTACGGCATGTGTTTTTACTTCTCTCCGACCTTGGGAAGTAATGAAATTGCACATATCCCATGCATTGCGGCAACTACTGCATCACTGCATTACAAACTTGCCTAAATCCAAACAGACAGCAGCATTTAAAGAACATCATGGGACAGTTTTCCATAGCAGCTTTGAATTTTTATGATGTAGGCTTGAGTGCTCAGCCCTGCTTTCACCAAAGCGAAAACTGCATGATGGTAAGAACACCTCCGTTACTGGCATTTAAATGTCAATGACTGCAGATGGGTAGGAGCTAGGGTAAGGCTCCTTGGCCATATTTTCTGAATACATTCAAGCCAAAACTGTATATTCCTTCATCCCATTGTGCACAGCTGTTGCAGGACCAAACTTGCTGGTTATAATTCTCCAATTATCAAGCAAAATGTAATGAAACAGAGATGACATTTCCACCTTAACATTGACTTTCTAGGACAGGAGATTTTGTAGCTTAATGCCCAATAAACCCAAAATCTCTGGCGTGAAACGCAAAGCAGTATTTAAAGTATTTTTTTCATATTAATACACATGGAGTCTTAAAGCAACTCTGTATACATTAGACACAAAAAAGCCATATAAACGGAGGGGGGGGGCGCTATTTGTTCACAGCACAGGCATGCCCATTCACTGCACAGCAAAATATGAGCTCGCTGAGGTAACAGTCAGCACAGCTGTTTTGAAATTCTAAAATTAATACAAATTTGTTTCAAGAGACTAGATTACACCCTCTGGAATACGAAACGCACTGTGCACAAAAATGACTGCCGTAACCTAAAGAAAGCCTGTATTTGTCTTTTAAGTCCCAGGGGAATGTAGACTGCATCTAGCAGCATATTATTACTAGCCAAGAACCTGCCATTTCATGGCCCTGAAAACCAGCGTGTCTCTTCCCACCGAAATGCTTACCTAGCCAGGGAAGAAAGGGGCCCTGGACTCTGTGTACAGGAGGGCTCTCCTCCCCGCCCTCGACCGCCTCTCCCCACTCCCCTCTGACAGCGGTTCACGTGAACGTGATCACACCTGGGCAGTTGGGCCTGTCGCAGGTCCGTGACTCAGTGGCAGTGCAGGCATACCCGCAGGACCTCGTTCGCTTCTGATTGCCGCTCCCACAGGTGACGCTACAAAGGGACCACGGGCTCCAGTCTCCCTCACCATCAATATAATCTGTGTAAGAACAAAGATGAGGAAGGAAATGAAGAAACAAAACTCCTACTACCCAAAACTACTGTGTAGTGTTTTTTATTAAGAAGGCAAAACAAGAATGGAATCCAGATGTCTCTACCTGAAGCTCGGGCTAAATGCCAGGCGTAAGCCTGCTGTTTAAATGGTTTTCACACTTGATGCTCCTCAGGGAAATGCATGCAACATTATTTGAAAAAATATTTCCTTTCTCTTTTGACCTTTTGGCAGCTGAGAATCCTCAGCTGCAAAGCTGGGTCATGAACTAACAGTACACATCTATTCACATAAGTTCCCTGTATATAGGAATATGTTTTCTGACCACAGATTAATCAGGCGCAGGATAAATGAAGTTTTCTTTTTCTTCTTTTCAAAACACACAGCAATGGCACAACAATACTCACTTACTTAATTTTTAGGACACAATGAATGTTGGACTATGGGAGGCTGAGGGTCATGCGTGAAAATTGCAATTCTGTTTTTTTCAGTCCCTTGAACAGGAAACTGCTATTACAGGAATACCCCCCTGAATATAGGGAACCGCATATGCATCTTGCACCCAGAACAAGAAGCAATTTGTAGTATTTCATGCAAATTGTTAAAAAACAACAAATCTGACTGTTTACTAGCAGGAACCTTCTGAAAACGAAATGCGACTTTATTCTCTTCTGGTAGACAGCCAAGGGCAAAGGATACCAAGGCTGCACCACCGTGGCTCGGTGCCACTGTAAGTATCTAAACCCCTTAGAACCAGTCTCCTTTGTTTGCAGAGTTAACTGTTGCACGTCCCACCTTGTGAAGGCCACCAAATGGAGTCCATGAACCAATCCCAGTTTTCTTGCCTTCCCACCAGCCTCCCCAGCTGAGTGTTGTCTCTCGCTAGGGAATGTCTGGCTTAATGCATTTCTTCGCAACCTACAGGAGATGTTTAACTGACCCTGTGATCATAACTTGCAGACTTTGCTCATTTGGGTTAAACCAGCATCGGTAGCAAAGCAAAATTGGGTTTAGCGACTCTTGAGCCAGCCCTGCTCTATAGCTATAGGCTGAACGTGTATGTACAGGCAAGATACAGGGACAGATCCTTGCCTGCGCTGGCCTCTGTGCTACACGCGATTCCTGCTCCCCCCCCCCACTGCCATGCTGTCTGTGGGCTTCCTGAGCTGGTTAGTAGAACACGTAACTTGATTTGTACCATATGTAATGACTGACGACAACTCTGTGGGGTGCTATTAAACATTTATTGCCAGGAGTATGGGAAGGTTATATATCTCACTTGTAGCAAGCTGCCTAGATGCGAGTTCCTCGTGGCAGGGACCTTACATGCTTTTCCTCCTTTTCTTACACTGCTGCGGAGCGGGAAGCCACCACACTTGAATCAGGTGTCCATGGTGTGATGTGCGTGGGAACACGGCTACCGTCTGTGTGCAAAGACCTGCGATTCTGGGATTTGCCAACAGGCGGGCGCTAAGAGGCATAAGACGTCTTAGGAAAATGTGATCTGCCCTCTCTCCCTGGCCCTGCTCTCCTTCCTGGCGCTTTTCCAACTCTGAATTTTTTTCTCTATGTGGCTGCACGTTGAGCAGGTGCAACACATGTCAAAGAGCCCAGGCAGGGAGGCCCAGGGAGGGCAGGCAGAGCCGTGCGGTGCTTTTTGGCAGGGGCAGGACGAGGGAGATAGAGCCGTGAAACGTGTGAACAGCTCAATGGGTGGAACTAGCATAAAAGCCCCACACGGGCAGGATCTGCTGCTACATCCTCCTGGCCAAGGCCGGGGCACACGTCGTTTTAGGTTAGTCAGAAGGCCAGGAGTCTTTTCCAATTAGTAGGGTGCTCTGGCGTACGGCAGAGAGCTCTAGGATAATTTTTAGGCCTACCTACCTAGTGTTTATACTGCACTATGAAACACACAGTATCTACTATTAAATATACCACGTTAGATTTTTCAGCTGGAGCTCAACCGGTTCTTCCTATTTTTACATTTGTAATTCTTATTATTTTTTTCCGACCACAATTATTTGTGAAAGCAATTTTTTTTTACCTAAAGAAATAACTACCTAATATACGAATTCTTGGCAATAAAGTGTGCCCACAAATAAATGCAGGTGCAAAAAGAAGGGACAGACTTTAATCTTCTGGCCATAAAATTTAATACATATGTATGTGTTTAAATACACCATTCCACGAAAAGTCTCTCTCAATTGTTAAGGCTCTAGGACTTAAAGTTAACCAAAACAGGGGAAAAATAAGACTGCATCAGTGCATGACAGCCACTCTGCAGTATCTAGGGACCGCAACAGAAGTGCCAGGGTAGACGTTCTGTGGCTTTGAAACCCTACTAACTAAAAATCTTCTGTATTTACATACAACTTAAATCGCAGAGGCTCCGAGCTACCTGTGAGCACGTATTAGTTCACCTCCCTTGAGTCACTCCCATGTGGTAGTTACAGCCTGTTGGGGCAGTGAATAACTGTAGCTCCTCTCTGTTTCTAGTTTCTGCAACTGTTTCATACAACAAGCTGAAAACAATTGTTTTCGCCATGACACATCTGGAAGAATTACACACGCAAATACACAATGTTCCTGCTGCATATGCCACTCCCCACACATGCACCAACATAATTCATCTTATTTGTGTATCCACCAAATACTACCACGTTTTAGATCTTGCTTATTTATCCAATAATTATATTTTGGTTCCCAAACCACCGCATGATTCTAAATTTGTACTTATCCTTACTCTAAAAATAAATATGAAACCTTGTTTCCTTTGCTTTTAAAAAAAGTACACTTAGGACTAAAAAAAAAGTCCTCTTATGGGATAACTGGTATGATTTTCAAGATTATAGACTTACTAGTGGAATGCAGCTACCACAGTACAGCTTGTGCATCTGCACAGATTTGTATTTAAAAGCTGATGAACAAAAGCCACATGTTGAAAAATTCTATTTTGCTTGGCCTACTTTCAGCGATGCCTCACCATTCTCATTTCCCCCAAACTCGTTTTTACAATCCCAAGATGGCCATAAGAGGCCTGGAACGCAAACTTACCATACTCTGGCTGCTCCTTGGACTCAAATGTCCGGTGACTGGGTGCATGACTATCCCACCCACCGAGAGGGTTTAGGAAGTTGCTGTCCTCAGTAGTGCTGTCATACTTGTAGTCCTGGTCACCGCTGCTCATGCGAGTCAAGGTGGAGGACCTCTGCCACCAGTTTCTCCAGTCAGGTGATGGGACTGGCCAGCTAGGCTTGCTGCTCTCTTTCTGCAGATCCTTGTCTGTCTCGGTGTCGGGGCCATCCACCACTTCAATGGTAACCTACGGGATTCAAAATAGACCAGCCTGTCCGTCAGTATCTCCTCCTAGTCAGTGGGAAACAGCGAAGACAAATGACTGCTGTTGCCTTGCAAAGGGGCTGTGTAATACTGTAGGGTTCGCATGTTGTAAACCATATGCGGATTACTGAGCCCAGAGACATGCAGCGGCTGAGTGATTCCTTCTGCTACCTCTGCTGAATCAGACCTTGGAACAAAGGCTAGGCAAAATCCCGCACAAAATAATAACCCATGCTGTGCCTAAAACCTTTGCAGCAGAATTTTGTGCCTTATGGGGAAAAGATGTTTAAACCCGAACATATATGAACAGGAAAAAGAAACCCAACTCTGTTACTCTAATTACATTGAGGCTGACTTTGAAGCGAGCATGAAGCACACCAGCGTGCAGAGCCTGTTCCAAGGACTTGGACTGACTCAAGACAGGGCTAAGCAAGTCCACGAGTGCGAAGGTGGAAGACGCAGAGCCCAGGGTCTCTGCCGGGTGTGCATCTGCCTTGCCCTCTAGCGGCAGCTCAGCCCTTCCCCTTGCACGGCCTCCCCGCAGCACCAGCGTTTCCATCGCACAACGGCGTGGGCTGTCACTGCTGTGTGAAACCACGCTCTGCGGTGATGAGAGCCAGCAGCTCTTTCAACCAGCGCCGAGTAAGTCACTTGCTGCTAAGCCCTCTGAAGTAGGTCCTCTTTCTGTGCTGGAGACTATAATGATACACAAACCCATTTACGGTTTCCACAGAAGCCCAGAGCCAAAATTCAAAGTTTGCTGCCCAATTCCCTCACAGACATCGTGAATGTAAATGTAATTCTGCATAGGAACAACCCTTGATTACTCCTCTTCTGTGCTGAACAATGTGTAATTACGAAACTTTTGGATAAATACTGTGCATACATATAGGTGGCTATTTAGATAGAAATAGGAACTCGCTATCAGAAACCTTGGCTCTGTGAGTCATGCAAGCATAGCGTGGCCACAGATAAATCATGAAATGCTCTGATGCTTCATGCTAATGTGACTCGGTGATTACATTGGACTGGCTAAACAACCATGATATAGAATTGACTATCAGATATACCTAGAATGTTTAATAGGTACAGAGGTATTCTTCATGTTTTATAAATTTACAAAGGAGTCTTCCGAGACAGTATTCCATGATAATTGGGTTGTGTAAAACCAGGAAAAACAGAATAATGCACTATTATGCTAAAAGTAATTTATATAGCTCTATGGATTTGCATTTTGGATAAAAGGTTTAATTTTATACAATTGTTATGAGTAAAATCACAAGACACACGCAAAAAAAGAAAGAAAAGAGTGTCTGTGTTTCTTCAGCTACCTGTGATCCACAGAGGAGTGTGACATAGGAAGCAAACCAGAACTGCTGCCGTAGCTTCGTAGCTGCAGACACAGCTGCACAGACAAGACAATGCCCACGCATCCTTTTTTGGAGAAAGGAGACACTGCATCTATTTCATGCTTTGCATTTGACCATAGACCAAGCCATTGAAATGAAACAACTTTGAGGCTACTAAGAAGCTCCACTGGGAGAAAGAGCAAGAGCGAGGGAAAGTGCAGTTGTCAGCCTAATAGCATCTTTACACAAGAGATATTTTACTCCCAGACTAAATACGGAATTGGAATGATTACTTCATTAAACCTCAGTTTCTACAGACCAAGAATTAAAATGGATTTCATAAGTTTGAAAACATGAGGGTTAGTTCAGGGATTCAATATTGTTGCATCTATCCAAGCAAAACAGAGTTTTCACAATAAGTGAAAGGAAATAGTGTTACCGAGCGGCTAACACTGTGCACTGCTGGCCAGTCGCAGGGCTTTAGTACTGCCCACGTGAAAAATAGTATGACTCTAGTACTTTAGTGGCAAGTGTTTTTAAGACCACATTAACTCTGTAAGCAATGACTCAGCAAAGTGAAAAAAAAAAAACCCAGCAAAAAAACCCCCAAACCAAACAAAACGCTCTCGTAAAAAAAGGCAGGGGGCACTTGATAATCATTCCATTTGCTTTGGTAAGCTGTAGTTATATGATAGTGAATCAGCATGAACTCGCATTATTTCAGCCAGGTACAGGTTGAAGAACCACAGGGAGTTGATTTAAAATACTTATTCAGGACGCCAAGTCAGTTTAAGCAAAAGAGGGTTTGTAGGGACAGAGAAACTTCCGCTGACCGATGTGCTACACTGGGGAGGAGAGGCAGGTGTAACGCACAAACTTCCAGCGTCATGAGACCTCATCAGACCTCCAACAGCACTGCCACTAACTTACTTTCAAGACTTGTCTGTGCAATCAGATATCCCTCTTCAGTCTGTTTTTACTACCAAGGAGGCTTATTACAAAGGCCTTTAAAATGAGTTTTCCAACACACAGCCTATTTAAAAACCGAACATAACAAAAGCAAAATGCAATGTGGTTATCTGACACACACCTATATTCCTCTCTCTGCTGCTTTCAGCTTTAATTACCAAGTTATTTGTTTAACATGTGGCATAAAAACCATAGAGTGAAAGAAATTCTATAAAGAATCCTGGGATTGTCTGAATTGCCACTCTTGGAAATAAAAAAAAAAAAAAAAAGACAGCTTCAGTCGACTCTAGTTCTGTTTGTTTTCAGGGACTCAGCTATGCTCTGCCCAGCCCCATTTAACTCTAATGGACCTTCCAGAGGCAGGGAGGAAATCAGTGAGTAATCCCTCCATAGTATGACCCGAAAGTTAGGGCAGAGGTGTGAGAAGAGGCCGCTGCTTTGGGCGAGCAATTGCTCCCCTATCCCAGTCTAAAATTTTGAAAAAATCAGCATGCACTAGATTTTTCCCAGTACTTACAGATAGACTTAACAACATTAGCCCATGACTATACATATTCATATACATGACACACAAACACGTATCTTGTTTCATCGGTTTCTATACTGGATGTTCTTTTTATAAAGGAAAAAAAGAAATCAGATCTAGAACTAGAGTCATTAAAAATGGGCATTTAAAGCAGCTCCGGAAAAGCTTTCATGCTGTATAACTACTCCAACAAAAACATGTTCTCTCAACTGTTTTAAAGACTTCATTTTCTCTGATTTCTTCTTCCAGTGATTATCAAAACTCTAAAGATGATTTATTTTTTTCTCAAGCTTCCCAAAATGTCTGTGGTAACATCATTCTTGTATAAATCCACAATCATCTCCAGAAGTATTCAAATCTAAAATGAAACCACTTCTTTTATAGTCGTGTGAGCTATAAATAAGAATGTTCCTCTAAAAACTGTTAAAAACAATTGGCATAGGTACATTAAAACAACAGATTTTCAGTTAATTTCTAATGAAACAAATGTATTGAGCACAGATGTCTTGAGACACCAACATCCAATTTTCTCCTGGCCAAAAATATACAGAAGATAAATATTTTCCCCGCCTGCTGGAGTGCACAAAAAGTTCTGTGTACTTCGTCCTGTTTACTGAGACAATGTTTCTGAACTCACTTTAATGGTGTAAACATTGCCCTAAGCAACTGGAAGATTATGTTTCAGGAAGAACTACATTTGCAATATTGTGCAAGCAGTGGATTCTATGACATTTCTATCCTCTGTTTCCTTCATGCAACTGATGCAAATTTGCAGTGCAGAACTTGCCATTCCATAAAGGTGGATATGTGCAAGTCAGCAATGAGGTAACTACAACAGCAGAACAGAAATGAGTTCATTAGAAGACAACATAATGGTAAATTTAGGTTTAAACCACATAACAACTTCAGTTAAAATGGTATCAGTAGTGACACCAATTTACTTCCGGTTATGTCATGACAGCTCACTTTTAGAACAGTTTTCTGGACTTGATGAAAAAAAAAGTGAAGGACCCTCAAAATTTGCTGGGAACAAAGAAGACAACGGGACTCAAAACCTGAAATTTGTATTTAATGTTGTCAATTCTAGTTGGACTCTCTGATGGGCCTAACTGAACCCCAGAATTAAAAATCTGGTCCGAAACCCAGCTCTGAATTTTGCACTCTGCAGCAACCTCTCGTTACACCATCACATTAAGAAATCTGTGCAGAGGTAATAACAGCCCTGGTACTGAAAGCGGTTTAACCATGGCCCTCTAGCACCCTGCTCTGCCTAGACCAGTCTCTCCAGCTTGCTAAGAGGACTAGCTAGTTCCCGGCATGGCTATGCCATGCTTTTGGTGCTGCAGCTAGCTCAGCGAAGCAGGCATGCTGACCGGGGAGACGGTCTTGGGAGCAGGGAGTTCTCCATGGTACAGACCCAGCCCACGGACCAAGAAAATGAACATGTGCTCTCTGCTTTTCTGGGCCTTAATTTAATGATAGAGACAGTTGCTTTGCTACTACCTTAAACTATTGAGCCTTAAAGGCATTACAAGAAATAAGCACTACCGGAGCCCTCCAATTCTTACTCTGCTAGACTGGGGATGAGATGTACTGGGCAGAGCTCAGTATTACAGATACTGCTGAGTCTTTTGTGACGATACCGAGAGGGTGTTGCTTTCCAATGCAGTGAAACCAGCAGCTTCAAATGACAAATATATATCTAAAAAATATGTCTAATAAAATGTGTTAAAAGTGACGTGCTATAGATGGAAGTGAGGGAAATGGCCATGGATGAACCCAGAGAAGAGTTGGTTTGAAGTCTGCAGTTCTTTTTCAAAAGCAGATCATACAGCCTCGTTTCTCTGTAGCTGTGTAAGTTCCTAGAGTGGGTGGTTCTGTGTAGATTTTTTTTTAAGAGAAGGTAGAAACTGAACAGATATCAAAGAGAATAAATAAAGCTAACACAGCAGCTCTGGAGTGGCATGACTGGTGGATATCGCCCACAGGCCTCATGCAAAATGATAAAGATAACACATCACCAAGCAGGCAGCATTAACTTCCTCTGGCTTAAAATCGCTCCTATCAATTACTACCAATCCCGCGACTCAAAGCGAGGATAATAAACACAACCGATTTAATCGTATATTGATTTACTTCAGTTTTCCAGGGCACATCAACATGTTTTTAGGACGGGAATCCTACCTAACTCGGCACAGTTTCTACTTGGAACTTGTCTCCTCATCCAAAACGTTTAAAACATCCATCGCAACTGGAACTCACCCAGCTGTGTTTCAGGTATACCGTTGTGATCAAGCTTGATCAAGATTCAAGTTCTCTGAAGAGCATTAATATCAACAAAATGCCCTTGCCTGACAAAGAGTAAGGAGTTTTCCCCTTTCTGCTCATTTGCCATAGTGTCGAGCACTGCTAGGAAAGCAGCAAAGCAGTGGGACAACAGAGCGCGGCGCTCTACCTGCTACAGTACACAAGCCTGGGAAACCAGGAGTAAAAAGAAAAGGGGAGGGACAAGAGCAAGAGTTCAACTGCAAGTTGAAGCATCTGGCTCCAGACGGAGGATCGGCTGCAGAGAAGAGATAAGAGGTTGTAGAAGGCTGGTTGGAACAGATGAGAAAAACCCATCAGAAATGGAAAATAAGCAGGTTCCTCCCATGTGACTTCGTTCTGTTACCCAGGAGTAAGAACAATTTTGTCTTACTCTGCATAATAACCCTGCCCAATTACAAGGTCTGCATGGGCATCCCTTGGCTAGTTCATCAAATGAGTGCAAACCTACACGAAAGGGATTTTCCACTTGTGAAAGGAAATACAAAGAAAACCTGTGATCAGTTTTTGTAATTACCTGCTCATCCGGAAGTCTTCCAGGCATTGACAGAATTGTTAAGAAGTTAAAACAAAAAAGAAGAAAGCAAAATACCCCAAACCAAACAGCCAGCCTTTGCTCAACAGCCGCTACTGGAGTTACTCTCAAACAACCAGCGTGGAAGCAATGCTAAAGCATAAAATGCCACTTGAAATGATGGGAGATTTTACAAGGCTAGAATGCCACAGAAAGACCAGTAAGTGTCGTCCTGGTCTTGCATGCAGAGAGTCAAATCGCATTTGGATTACTGC